GGTCCCTTCCAACCCGGGTGATTCTGTGATTCTGTGATTCTGTGAATAACCGTCTAGCATAATGAAAGCCGATTAGAGATTGCTTTGTTCTACTCCATGCAATACAAAGTAAGTCCTATCACCATCTTCTCCAGCTGTGGCACAGAACCCCACATCAGTCTGTTACACACACACACACACACACACACACACACACACACACACACACACAAAATAGTGGGGGCAAATGGGCTTAACTGTTCAGAATGTGCTTTATTTCAATTTAAGAAAAAACAAAAGACATTAAAAACAACTTCAAAAGTCTACTGATGGTGGAGACACTGCTGAGGAAGAAAGTAGCTATGGGGCTTCAGCTATGTATTTCCAGACAATCCAGGCATTGCAGTCAGGCTGACTAAAGCCTACGTGAGCAGTTCGCAGTGGTTAGCTCCTCTCTGACTTGCTAGGCAGATTCTAAGCTGTTCCCTTCTTTTTCCTTGCTTGTTTTACAGTGGCAAATGTGATCGTAACACAGAAACTAAGGAACTGGAATGAAAAAGGAGGCCACCATTCTGAAGAAAAGCAGACTGGTATTTCATCCTTTCCATTAAAAAAATAACAACAACAACAACAAAAATAAGTAGTTAGTACTAATCCAACCCTCCTGCTGCTGTTGTCTTTGCTCAGTGACGTCGGGGCATGCTGGCGCACACACACACATACAGGCAGCTCTCAGACTCTCGGACTCAGAAAAGCGAGTTTAGAACTGAAGTGAGTCTTCAGAGGAGACTGAGGATAGGTCCCAGGGCTAGAAGGTTTTTCGGTGGATGGCACGAGCTCCATCTTCTTCATATGCCTTTTTTGAAACCCACATTTTCTTAAAAGTATCCAGCGAGGCCAGAATAGAGCCACTGGGGAGAGACAGACATGATAGATTAAAGGAGAACATTGGGGACACTGTCACTACATCTCTGCAGGGAAGAGCTGTTCCTGCTGTACAACTCTTCCACGCTTAAAGGTGCCAGGGCTCCTGGTTGCCTACAAAAGAAGTGCTCCCTAGACAGTCACCTCTCCTCCTGTTAGCCTCAAATGTGCTGGTATTACAGAGCCTATCACGAGCCACACTCACAAACACCATGCTGACACTGCTGTAAACCAGCAAGCTCTCCTCACATGGGATCTCACTGGTCTCACTTCCTACAGTTCTGGAGCCGAGTTTAGTTCTCCTGATGAGCAACAAAGATGTACACAAGAGGAGAAACGTACCTACTGCCTCTGCCCTATGGAATGTGTTACCAATGAGCTTGTTCTATGCTAATGTTATGAGTTATGTTCTATGTGGACGTTAGGACTGGTTAAGATAGAGAAAACAGTCTCGCAGGTGTCTTAAGGATGAAAAGAGCTATGGGGCTGACAGCACGAATGGAGGCTCAGTAACCAGGCTGGGTAGCACGTGGTTGAGGAGTAATGCCCTCCTGACACACCATAATAGCAGGAACAACAGTGAAAGTGCCAACAGGCTGCAATTCTCCAGCCCTCCTCGCACAGGAAGACCCACCACCACTTACCCAATCCACGTAGAATACAATCTCTCCTGAGGAGCTGATATCTAGAAGAAGAGAGTCAGTCAGGACCACCTCAAACTACAGTCTGCTCCTCCTGGCATGCTGCCCTGAATTCCCAACAGCTAACACAGGTATGATCTCTCCCACTAAAAAGACACCCAGCAGGTCCCCCACAAAATAACCACTGTGGACCAGATCCTGAACAGAAATCAAGCTGTCAGAGGAGCTACCTTCTCCACGATGAAAACAAACAACTGTTTATCGCAATAAGGCTGTTACTGGTTTGAACCACGTGGCAGCTACGCTCTTAGCATGGCTTTTTTTTTTTTTAAGAGGGCAAAGATCACATAAAAACACATCGTATGTGATAAACACCCAAGAGAATGCTCCTACTCTGATTTTGACATCCTTTGGAGCTAGTTTCTTCACTTCTCTCAAGAGCCTATCTCCAAAACCTGCACAAGACAAAAAAAGGAGCAGTTTGAACCCTTCAGCAAAATCCCGAGTTCCATCTGCTAACAGTGTGAACCCGTACAGCGGAGCAGGGTTTGAATGGGAAAACTAGGACCTATCTGGATTTGTCTGCCTGTGCTTAAGGGCTGATGGGCTCTGGCAGAGCATACCTATGTCCATAGGGACCAGATGTATGCTGTTATGACTAGGGCTCAGAAAATTCGGGAGCAGGGATCAGTCTCCTGCTTCTCACAGTAACTACCCTGAGAACAGAGTTGGACAAGTTGGATGTTGTCTCCCCTGTTTCACACGAGATGAGAAAAAGATGTAAGTTACAGCCCACTGAAAAACAAGAGACAGGAACCTTTGAAAAGTGTGGAGCCACCAGACAGCACAATGTTGGAGAAAAGTGTTCGCCTCAAACCCACGTCTGATTTTTGAATGGCAAAAACGAGCACCTCGTGGAGTCCTTCACATTCTTCCCCTATCAGGTCTGGCCGGAACAAGAGCTCCGGGGCACGAAAGCGGGCAGAGCCGATCTGCAAGGAGAGAAGTCAGCACAGAGGGGAGAAGACAGCAGTGTGCTACAGTTCACTGTCTGCAGCCTCCAGGTTGTGTCTTTCTGAGATAAAACTTCAGAGGAACAAAGCTTTTTTGGACATTCATGCTACATCATTAGCTCTCAAATGACCACCATCTCAACCTACAGCTTCCAGCAAAGATGCCATTTCTATTCTGCAGATGAAAGAGATGAAGAAATTTGCTCAGCTCCATACAGCTGGGCAATGGCTGAGAAGTAAATGGATCCACCTCTGGTACTGGAGGTAAGACTTGTATTTCCTCTCTTTCAACCATTCTACAGAAGGCTCAATCTTTTAAAGAATATTCCCAAGTCACTCTTCAAACCAGTAGTTTCTGTTCATCTGGGCAGAAAAAAAGCCACATACAAAACCACAGCATAATTTGCAGATACCAACCCACGCTCCACACCTGATCCACGTAAAGATTTACTAGATCAGAATCTGCACTCAAACAGTTCTCAGACTCCATGGTCATGCTTTACTCTTACCCAAGAATTCTAGTAGAATTAGTAAGATTTCTAATAATGCTCTCTTTCCCTAAAAGTTCTAGTGCCCCAGCTCAACAACCTGGGATGCATTTTGGTCTTTAAAATTATCCTGTCTCACCCCACATTGCACTAAATTCCCATCTTTTACAAACCTGAATAGTGCTTCCATCTGGCAGGTAGTACTGAGCCTATCCTGCGGCCAAGATTGTGTGATGTTGCAGCAACAGTCACTCGTGGTGATATTGCACCACTGCTCTGGCAATGTACAATTGTTACACAGGGAACCTTTCCACCCATTCGCGGTTTTGAGATGATACCACTGCCGAGTACGATTTACCACGTACCCACAGTACGGGCCAGACCACCTGAACACCGCACTGTTCAGCGGGTTAACAAGCGTGTGTGGGATGGTTCTATTACGGCTGGAGTCCCACAACAAAGGCCTACCCCTCTTAAGGAGATCCTGCGCAATCCCACGTTGGGAAAGCGATCCTTGTAAGGCAAATTGTTCAAAACATATGCATCCCTCTGAATTATTACCTACGCTCTGAGAACCCATAAGCAGCAATTCAGGGGGGTCCCACGAAAGTGATGTATTCAGCATGCGGATCAGGCAAGCCGAAATATTAGCACCTGAAGTAAAGTACTTTTCGCAAGCAGTTATGTTATCTACATATCCCAAAAACAGCAACCTATCAGTAGAAAAATTCAAAGGTACCCCTATAAGGCACGTGTGGAATGGTGAAGTGGCCGATTGCACTCATCATATCACAGGGCATATTGTACAGGTTCAAGGATGACACACATAAGGTTGATCACATCATACGGCAGGAGGCTAGAAGCCATAAGAGCTTCTACTGCCGACATGGTCACAGGAGAGCGCAGACCTTTACTTTTAACCAAATCC